GTTTTGTCATAGCAGTGGTGAATGCTGGCATTATCTTCCCAATGGTATCCTTTTCTAGGACAGACCCTGGGCGCAGCGGGCTGTTCCCTGGGCCGGGCCCATGTTAGAAACCCTGGGAAGCACATGAAGGGGCAAAGAAAGACTGTACAAAAGTCTCTTCAGTGCGAGTATGATGTTCTCAAGTGCGCACCACTTGTCCTGCTTAAATTCTCAACATAGGAGCACTGCATTCTAAGACCATGCCTCTGTTCTAACTTATCCAGAAGTTCATTTCCTTATTCTTTAAAGCACAGCTTTATTATAAGATTGAGAAATACTGATGTTTTGTGCCACTGCTGTTGTATTATACATGGTCTATCTGAAGTGAGAGACGAGCTACCAGCCTCTACAGGACTTCTTGGAATGTTGATTAGTTAGTCATTTTCATGACAAATGACAAGGTTGAGAGGTCTCCTTTTTAAAAAAAATTAAAAAGCAAACCTAAAATTAAAAGTTTTAATTAAACGTTTCATTATTAACACTAACTTTAAGAACATAGCCTCTGCTACTATGAAAATCTCATCTTTATCAGGCCTAAGCCGGAAATGAATGAAAACCAATGTGATCTTTGAAGTCCAAGACCCAGTTACTCTGATTTAATACTAAAACTCCAGTCCCTGGTGAGAAACTCGAAAGCAGTCCTCATCCCAACCTCCCTGTGTCTCATATAATACAGCTAGCGCTCATTTATTGACCATATCCAGAAAAGAAGAACCTCAAAGACTCAGCTGAAGGACAAGTTAAGGACTCGGGAAGGATCTAGAAGGACTTCCTCCCTCCCAGAGGAGCTCCCTGTGAACTCCCTTGAGGCACAGCTGGCAGCCCAGAGCAGCCAGCTGTTAACTCCACCCCCCACCCTGGCACCCAACCAAGATGGTGCATTCAAATATCAACTCAGCGGACATAATGGATTTAGCACTTGCTCAAAAACTCCTAACATCCACACTTAGCTCCTTAGTTTTTGCTATTGCTGCAATATTTGTGAATAAATTTTAAAATAAGTTTCCCTGAGTGTCTTTCAGGAGCCCGTAGCTTTTTATGAAAAGAATGTATAGCTTCCTGAATAACTTTCTCCTGGGTCTGTCTGAGTGAAGCCTCCTACTACTCCTGGCTGAGCTCAGCCTAGGAAGGAGGAACTGAGTCACAGCAAAGTGAAGCCTGGAGACGTCTACAAAGGTCAAAGGGGTCAGACCAGAGGTCCACTCCCCGGAGCAGCAGCCCAGCACACTGTTATTCTTGTCCCTTGTGTCCTGCATTTACAATTTACATGATCCAATTGTCCTTCCTGCGGGAACCTCCCACCCTCCTCCTAGGCAGGAGAATTACGAGGTTAGGTGCTCAGTATTTTCCAAGCCCAGAATACACATTATAAGTGACGTAATGCTAACAAGCAAAGCTGACCAGAACTTAGGGTCTGACCCCACAACAGCTGCCTGCAGGACAAAGTTCACCATTAGAACTGCAGCTGTTGTGTGGAGGGATCCGCAGCCAAAGCTCCTATCTACCTCCCTTGCCAGCTGATAGAAAAGCAAGAAATCAATTGAGCATGATTCTTTTATTTCCTAAAAGCAAATGTGAACACTCAGGTTCTATTTCCCTTGAAGGGATACTGAATAGTGGCTGGCTGAGGCTGCGGTCACTTCTCTGGCATGCTGGCTAAGGTAAGGTGGTGCTGTGTCGTGTTATTCAGGGGCCATCTGCAGACTTTCACCATGCTTGACTCAGCAAACATTATCTGTGCCACAGGGCAAGGGTAATCATCACACACAAAAATTAATAAGTAAACACAGTTTCCAAAGACACAGAAGTTGCATGCTCTAAAACAGAGTGTTAGCCTCTCGAAGTAACCTACAGATGTTAACAAGGGTACAACTAGACTAAGGTCAGTGCGGTTAGGGCCCAGACGGTGTCATCTACTTCAGCTTCTAGGGGACAAAAAAAGGGGCCAAAACTAAATTAAGAACTAGGACTAGCAGATGTTAATGCTATGGAAACAGGTAATGAGGTATGAAGAGGCACTTACGTGGAGGAGGGCTATCTGCATTTCCCATGGATGGAACACAGACGAAAAGAAAAGCCAAGAGACAGACCCAAGGGAAAAAAATAAGATGTAAAAGAAATGAACAGAATATGCAGAGTTGGAGCTGGAAACTCAAATTATCAAATTACTTCAAATCCAGAAAGAAGCAATCCCTGTAGAAGGAAGATGAGATGGGCTTTTGTGCTTTGGGGAAGAGGCCATGGGATCTCTTTGCTGGATTCTGGCTCCCCAGACAAGGGAACAAAGGATTCTCCCATGTGCATTAAATCCAGGAGCCAGGGGATACATGGAGAGCCCTTGCTACTCATGAGGCCCCTGCTACAGCGTCTTCTCCAGCTGGACAGACTCCAGGGCATCCCAGAGCAGCAGCTCTGGTCTGCAGAGGGACATGGCCAGAGCGGAGCTCACTCACCGAGCAGGCATGGTTTGAGGAAGGCAATGGTGCAGGGAAATAGAGATGCAACCCTGGGAAGAATTGGGGAGAAGCAGCTCTCCTGAAAAAGCCTTCTAGGTAGGGAGAGCGTGAGCAGCAGGGAAGTCCAAGGCCATGGCCAGCCTTTCCACTTGGTCATGGTTGAGATTTCGCTCTCGCTCATGTACCCTATATCGGTCTCCATTTCTGTCTGACTTAGTACCTCTGCTGCCTCAAAAATCCCCCCACAAATTACGTGAACTGTCACTGTCTGTGTTCTTCCTTCATGTTACAGATGCTCAGGGCCTCTGTGGCCTATGTCAGAAATCCAATCTCTCCCATCCTCCCGCCCCTGGGGTTTTCCCCCACTCTTGGCAAAACTGTTCTGGTGGTGCGTATGTTCCCCACCTCAACAGTCCAGCCAGCCAGATCGGCTTCTAGGACAATGTCCCCCACCCCTCTGGGCAAGACAGAATGAAGGAGTGTGTGTTAGCTGGACAGCTGGAGAGCTAGGAGGTGGGGCTGCCATGAGCAGAGGGACTTGAGAGACAGCGCCAGCTCAGAGCACCCCGCTGTCCCCAAAGAAAACAGGGTAGGTAGAAAGCAAAGGCTGGGCATCTGGCTTTACTTACGGACTGGCTGCGTCTTGAACTCGGAGGCCGCGCTGATCTCACCCAGCCCCTTGCCGTTGAGGGCTGCCAGTCGGACCGCGTAGGTTGTCTCAGGCTTCAGGCCCATGATGGTGACAATGCCCTCCATGTTGGCTGTCGGGAGAATTTGAAATGGATCACAAGAGTGCAGAAGCCCCCTGGGAAAATGGTTCGGTGAAGAACAATATGGCAGATCCTCACAGAATTAAACAGAACCATTGTTTGATCCATTAAATCTACTTCTGGGCATAGTCACAGAATTGAAAGTGGGGACTCCAACATATTCTGCACACCCATGCTCACAGAAACAGCATTCCACAGTAGCCCAAAGGTAGAAACAACCCAAATAACTGGCCATTGACAGATGAATGGGTGAGTAAAATGTGGTAAAGACAACAATGGCATATTACTCAGCCTTAAAAAGGGATGGGATTTTGATACATCGATAAACCTTGAGGACATTATGTTAATGAAATATCCAGACACAAAAGGACAAATATCATATGATTCCATTTATATGAGATATCTACAATAACCATGTACACAGAGACAGAAAGTAAAATGGTGGACCGGAGAGAGGTGAGGGCCTGAGGTTCTGGTGTATAGTGGATAAACAGTTTCAGTTTAGGATAACATAGTTCTGAAGATGGATAGTGGTGATGGTTGTGATTTAATGCTACTGAACTGTAGACTTAAAAACAATTAAAGTCAATGTAAAGTTTATGTTATATATCTATTGCCGTATTAAAATTCCCCCCCCAAACTAAAATTGATCTTAAAAAAAAAAACAAAAAACTTAAATTGACCTTAAAAGAAAAAAGCTTGGCACAGATTGTAACATGGGACCAATCGGCCACAAGGTAGTAGTATGACAGTTCAGGAGGAAGGTAGGAAAGCAAAAGGATTATCTTCTTTTTGCTTCTATCCTGATTACACAACAATTCCTCTCAGTTTACCTCCAAGCTGAATAGGGTGCAATTCTCAGGTAAACTTCTTGGGGCCCCGTTTCAGAATGGCTGCAATGTCAATGTCTCAATTGCACCCTAGTTCTCACAGTTCTCTTCCAGGCTAAGATGAAAAGTTTCTACAGAAACTCAACATAATTCCCCAAGTTATTCCAATTAAACCCCAAAGGTGGAGTAGACATAAATATATTCCATCCTCAGGTGGTCTGGGCTCAGACCTTGAAACTGCAGTCATCCAGAGGACAGTTCCTTAATTTTTGGCTTGGGAAAGTACTTTAGGGTTGATTTCAGAGCAGATTTGTCTTGCTGTCTCTGCTTGTTTGGTTACTGTCATAATTAAATGACCGTCCCTGGGCACAGACACCCATACAGGGATGGTTAGGTATTAACAGAGACCTCGGGACAGTTACCCAACATAGGACAGTAGGAATCCCTTACACTCAATCTGGCTATGTTCAGCACTTAAGCAGAGCTCTTGCCTCTAACATGGTTGAGATGGCCTCAGTATTCCTGGTAGGAAAGTTGAAAACTAAGTTCTAAAGCTCCAGAGTGCAGAAGGCCAACTCCCAATGAGATCTGATTGTGACCTAATTCTGGAGGGACAGTTTCTAATGCCATAGGAATCCAGATGGGATGGCTGGCAGAGACATCTGGCATGCTCTGGTAGGTAAAAGTGGTGTGGCACCTAGTCGAATGAGTAGCCAGGAGTTGATGAATATTGGGACTGAGTGAATACTGATGTGCTCATGATCCTGTGTGAAATGCTTTCTTCCAGACCCACCTTCTTTGGCATCATACCACTTGGAATGCCATACTTCTTCACCCAGTGCTCTCCATTCAGCCTTGTATTTGAGGATGGGCACTCCACCTGTGGCCTCTGGCTCATCAAACTGCACCTGTGCTGTGCTGGAGTATGGCTCCACCTGGTCGATGGATGGCGAAGATGGGGTGTCTGTGGGGAGGACACATGGAGAACCAGGTGAGCCCAGTTTGGCCCAGACCACAACTTCCAATGTCAACACACATCGCTGTCGTTTCTACTTACTCTTAGGAGTCCTGTCACCTGTATTCTGTGCTCTTGGCCCTTCACCATATGATTCTCCCCCAACACATCCCACATCCTCCTACCTCCAATGGCTCCTTCCTTCCTGACCCTGGGGTCTTCGTTCCACTATGTTGGTAGCCCAGAATACACAGGATGGGCTGGCAAGGGTGAGGGTGGAGTAGAAATCACTGTGAGGCACACTCACCTGCTTGCACAAGGATGAATTCCAAGGACTCCTGTCCAATGCGGTTCACTGCAGTACAATTGTAGTTTCCAAAATCATTTTCAGAGTCTGGGGTCACCTTTGGAAGGAAGGAGCTTTTGAGTTACAAGTCCCATGGATGACCACAGATTCAGATCCTTATTTACTTGACTAAATTAGTGAAGAACAGAACTAGTAAAACACAAACTATTAACTTCAGCTCAGTCTTGAACAAGAGAGAATAGCCCACGGGCTCCTGCGATTGGCACATTCTACCTCCCCATCCCAGTGTAGCCTTATGAAGAACATCAGTGTGGCACAGAAAAGTGACCTGGAGTGTGGCTCACTTTCTTCTCTAGCCAGTGGCTACCCAGTTCAGGATGTGCCAAGGAAGCAGGAGAGAAGATGTAGGCTGCATTCAAAAGCCTCCCCACCTCCAAATGGCTTTCTCCACCCTTACTTACCTCCAGATAGCTGGCAGAGTGGGTGTTATAGATCTTGATATTGCTGTAGTTGGAGCTTGGCAGCAACTGACCATCTCGGAACCAGGAGATTGTAGCACTTGGATAGGCAAATACCTCGCAGGTGATGTTCACCTGGTTCCCTTCCCAAGTATAGACAGCCACAGGGCCCTGTAGTTTGGGAGCATCTGCAAGGAATAACAGTGACTATCAGGATGACCACCACTATTTTACAGCTACCGCATCCTATCTCCTGGCAGTTGGATGGCTGATGTGCCCCAAAGCAAAACTAATACCTGTTATTGCAGAGGTCAGGCCATTTCAGTATTCCTGTGCACAGGTGCTGCCTGGGGAGGCTTGGAGCATGGAAGGCTTATAAACTGTCAGGGGATGGTGTGTGTAGGTTGACTGGGGAACACAGCTCTGAAATGGCCTTGGGCCCACTGCTACAGGGAATGTGACAAAACTCACAGGGTGCAGCTCATGTCTGGCTGCCATTTTCCTCTCTCCTTCTAACCCATAGTGCCCCCCATCCCGTGTCTTCCCCCAATTCCTCCTCACATTGCACTTCAAGATACATGGACTGCGAGTCCTGGCCGATGGTGTTGCTGGCTGTGCAGATGTACTCTCCTGCGTCTGTGTACTGGATGCTTTTCAGGGTCAAGGATGACACTCGGGCATGGCTACGCACCACCATGTGCCCATCCAGAGTCTGCCAGGAGAAAAGGGAGAGTGTCATCGCCTGAAGCAAGGCAGGGGGCCACAGTAGCTACAGCAGGGTGGGGCTAGAGACTAGGCCACCACTTGTGTGAACCCAGTCTCACATCCTGTCTCCCCTCTGTGACATCTAAGTCCCACTTTGTGTATCATCTAATAAGGGAGGCTCAGAGAGCACCATAGGAACTTGGGTATATCCAAAACAAGGTGGGACTCAGTTAAGCCAAATGACTTGAACTATGTGTCAAAACTGGCTTGGAGCAAGGACAGGTTAGGTTCCCCAAGACTACTTTTTCTGGATGTATGAAATGGAAGCAAAAGCCCTAGTTAGCAGAGCTTCCAGAAGCAACATCCTTGTCTCCTAACACCCTAGGAAACTTGGACTCCCACTGTTTCCTTTCGGTCTTCCCCTTCCAGTTCCATGGTGCATGCATGTGTAATGAGAAGAACGTGCACATTGTAAGAAAACTTTGCAAAAGTTTTTCTGTAGATGCTTTTCTTTCCTGAATGCTTACAAGTGAAATAATTCCACTGCAGAAAGCTCAAACAACTTTAAGATCAGGAGCTGTTGAGCTAGAAGTGAGGGTATCAGGGCCCCTTCTCCAGGGACAGTGGTATGGATCTTGGATCCTTAATACCATAGTCTCCATTTCCTAGCTGTTGATACTCCTAAGTCACTGGAATTACAACAATTGGTCAAAAAGAGAATGAACATATGATCCTTAGGCAATGGGTACTAAGATATTTTCCTCTTGACATTCTAAGAAAAATAGTTGCCAGCCCCAGGAAATGCTAGCCATGTGGCCCAAGTCCAGAATCCTGAGAAAGTTGGAAACTAGAAGAAGGGGTCATGTTCCTTGTAGGCTGGGCTACTCTCATCTCCGATGTATGTTGTTCCTCAGAGATGGATAAGAGGATGCTCTGCATCTGCCATCCCATGTGGTCTCAGTCTTTAGAGAATGGAAGGACACCCATGTCCTTTGGATATGCTACTTTGGAAGCCTGAAGCCAGAAACACAATGTCCTACAGTAGCGACTTTGGGAGACTCAAAAACAAGGGGCCACTGGCCTTTTGCAGCCAGCTCAGCAGAACTATCACAATAATCCTCTTTCACCATCACCCTTCTCATAAGAGGAAGAAGGACTGAGTGAAATCATCACTGCCTGCTGTAGTGAGTATCTCTACTCTCTGAGGTGAAGGCCCTGGTGTTTCCACTTGACCTGTACTTACGGGAGGCTAGCTGCCTGAGAACCTGCAACTTAGGATGGCATGCACTAATGAAAGATGTCAGCAGACAGGTGGGAGGCACTTCCCTAGACTGAGACATCCAGTTTGCTGGAAACACTGAATTCTGGGATGCTTTCTCTTCTAGCTGACAGATCTGTGCTGCCCATCCTGGTGGCTATTTTCATATACTTTACTCAGCAGTCTGCATTATGGCCATCAAGGGCGTGAAGCCATTCCTGCACGTCTCTCTAAAGAACTGGCCTGACCTTCTTGTCACTACTATTTGCTCAAAACAAAGCAGAACTGAAGGCAGAGGGGATGTGCAGTCTACACCTGGCCTTTCCGATCATAAGAGATGCCAACTATCAGGTAAGCTATTATTCTTTGTGATCCAGAATTATTTGTCCTGGGGCTGCCATATATCATAATCCTTGGGAAGCCATGAGAACATTTCCATAGAGAAGAGAAGCAAATGAAGTCATGTAGGTTAAGAGTGGACATTAACAACAACAAGGCAAAGGAGGGACAGATTTTATGCAGAATAATCAAGAAAGTAGTGGAAGAACAATGATGTCAGGGACAGCCATATTTGTTCTTTCTATCCGGTCTCTTTTTCTAAGTTTCTCTATGCAGAAATTTCTCCCACTTAATGATGTCAGCAGATCAGTAGGCAGTTCTCTAAAGAGAATTCTTATTTTGCAGTGGCTCACTGCAGGTTTGATGATGGGATTATTTAGCAGATGCCAAGTTTTCCCTTTGAGGATACACGGTCCAGTGCATCTGGACTATCTTCCCTTAAAATGCCTTACTAAGGAATGGAGACAAAGTCAGGGAATACTGCCCACAAGACCAGATGTTATACTGACCATCCATTCTCCCCTAGAGGTAGCGGATGAGCTCTGGGCAAGAGGGAAGACCTCGTTATGACAGAAAGATTTTTTTTTAAAATAAAAAACATATGAAGGGCAATGATAATTATTCTTCTCATCAAAACGTTTTGTTTCCCTCTTCCAGGTAGAAGTGCTAAGGCCTTCCGGAGGTGACAGAGTGAAACTTGCCATAGCCCAAGCCTTTTGCACTCATTCGGATTTAGGATTTTCATCTCTGAATGAGACAAATCGGAGAGAATGGAACTTCTGAGCCCCATGGGCTGCATTCACTTGAAAGTCAATTATGTCCAAAGTGCAGCGTTCAAGATAAAGACACTTCAGAAAAATGGAGTGCTATGTCTGCTTTCCTGGGAGTAAACCTATTATTTCCACCTATAATAATAACTCTCTTAACATCTCCTTAATGCTCCCTGATAAATCTCAGCTCCTTCTCTAACCAGGTCTAGACTAGAATGACAGGGTAAAAATGTACAAGGCAGAGCAGAATGAGATCCATCGCTGCTAAAGACTGGCCGATAATTAACCTTTCTTCTCTCCCTTCCCCAGTCCCAAGGGGTCCATGTCTCTGGGGCAATAAAACATCCAACCCGTGACAGCACTAAGGAGTTCCTGAGCTATAGGAGGGAAGCATTTCAGTGAGGGCATACGTTTAACTGTATTTCTCTACCACACTGGTAAGGAATGTTACAGAGAGAGCGTATAAAGAACTAGACTTGAGGAGGGCAGAGGGCAGCATGTCCGTGTGCAGAAACTAATATCTGTGCCTGGGGACAGGCGGTCAACTTTTAAATAATAACCAGCATTCAATATGTATTCTATGACCTGAACACATGAGGTATGTGTTCTGAATAGTTATCATTTCCAAAAGACCAAAATAATAGATTTGCAGAATTAAAACACAGAATTTATAGGATCTTCTGAGTTTATGGTTTTATAACAGCAGAGCTTCATATAGAGAAAGAAACAGAAGCTACTCAACAAAAATATTTATATATTAGATCCTTGAACTCCATCTAGGATAGGATAGATTTATTATTTGTCACTTAGTCACACTAATCAGGTAAAAAGTGACGGGCATGACCATGCATAGGGTCTTGGAGTGCAGCAGTTAAAATCTAAAGGTCAATGTTTAGCTTCAGTTTTCAAATTAAGTCCCACACTACTTGAACTGAAGCAAGTAGGCAGAAAAATTTCAAAGGTTAAATGCTACTGACTTTACAAAACATAAAACCACTTTGTACCAAATCATTCCAATCTCATATATTTAATGCTCTATAAAAGTAACAGGTATGTTTAGTGACTTGGGAAAACCAATGAGAGATGTCACTTGTGTAGCTTTTTGAGATGAAATATGATGTGATAATTTACCAAGACCAATCATTATGAAATACGTGAGCAACAAGATGAGTTGAGCTGGAAAGGAAAGGGCTGAGTGGGTTTTAGATCACTAACTTTGTGACTTTATGATCCAAAGCCACATCCACCATATGAGAGTAAAAAAAAATTTCATCATTTCCAATGTCTGGACTGGGAATTGGGGCAATTTATTTTTATCAATATAATTACCTGGATGTGATTTTACCAGCACCAGCAAGAGAATAAGATCCAGTTTTAGGAAATAATAAGGATATGTTCATCCACTCCCAACACAGCTTGCTTGCTCATCCTAAAATGACACTATTGCTAAAGTAGTGTCTACCACTATTGACCTATTCTTTAATCTAACTAAAATACTAATGAGTTTAGCATGTCTAGTTATTGCACTGTGATGGTGAGTTAAACTTTAATGCTTTCAAAACTAAAGACTGGCTAGTGGTCAGGTAAGCTATACCTCTTGCTTCTCTGGTCGAGTCCACGAAGCCTGGAGAGAACAAGATATAAAACACAACAAGAAAGCAGTAAAATTTTACAACATGTTGCTTTAGAGAATTGATGTATCACACTGCATTCCGTGCACATGCAGCTTCTTTTTTATTTAGAACTCTTTCTAAGGCCCACTTTCAATGGTGTGTTTATTACCCCATTTAATTTAGGATTTAGCTCATGTTCAGCTTTTTCCCGCTTATGCACCTTAAAATGTATAACTCAAAGGTAAATCCATGCCTAATATTTGACAGACCCATCTACAGATACCAGCAGACATACTGGACTGCTCTTGTTGCATAACATTTTAAATATTCCTTGTAGTAGGAGTTGGTGACTCTAGTAGTTTCGTCCACGTAATCTAAAGATGCTTGGAAAGATCTCCTCCTCTATGATTTTATTAGATAGCTTATCACAGATATACTAATGCCATTTTATGCTCATGCATTTTATAATTCTTTACATGCATTCTATTGAAAATAAAAAATTATTTTAAAAAAAGGAACAAAGCAAGGAGTACAGAGGTATATTCAGCATGAGAAGTATGAAGTCTTTGAGATTATGGATCAGGAAGCTTTGAGGATATCAAATGCTTAGTGGCGTGGTAGGGCTCCAGTTCATAAAGGCAGAGAATGCCCAGATGGCATGTTGCTCAAGCATGTACTGTGTTCATATAATGAGGCATTTCCAAGGGAGAAAGACAACTCATGGACATAGGGGTTTTGGGAACTTCCCACCCACATCTACATGTTTTTATTGAGCTGGCACTTGAGCATCTACTGAGTTTACAGTTTTTGTGCGGATCAAAGACATCATAGTCGCAATGGATTTTTCCATTAGGTGGTATGACTGCCTGATTGTCCCTGATGTTCAGATGGAAAAAGGATAGAAAAGATTCAGAAACGTAGCAGTGCAGTCCAGGGAAGGCACATGTATTAGCAAACAGTTAGTAAGAGTCCATTAATGCAAGGAGACTTTGTGAGGAACAAGGATGGAAATGTTGGATTATGTCACATGATGTGATGAAGTAACAAATGAGAACAGTGGAACATGCACAAACCAAAGTAACAGCGGGCCAGGCCAACATGTCAAATGTAATTGCCAATTCCACAGCACTGGAAAGGTTGTTTGTCACATGCCAGGGCTACATGAATCAAGATTTTTAAAGGGGCTATCTCATGGAAGCTTTTAGCTTTCAAATCTGATTCTTCTGTGCCTTCCTCAAGTCACTATGGTTCCAAAGCTTTGAGAATAAGTAGTTGCTGGTTAAGGCAATCTGGTGTGAAAATATACATGCTTAAGAAATAAATTAGGGTGTTATTAGTGTGCTCCAAAAATGTTAGTTCTAGGTTGTTTTAATATTCACGTTGTATTGTTTTACATGCAAATCTTCAAGCATATGTACATAAACTAAAGCAAGGCCTCCCTGTACTTATCCTAACCATTCCCTGTGATAGATTTGCCCTAGATAAACCAGGCTCTCATTGGTCACTGTAACCACTTTTTCCAGTGTTTTTTTCAACTGGACACTGGGATTGACCTGAGTGAAGACTTTCTACTGGTGAAAAGAAAACTCCACCTTCCCAAACTCCAGAATTTCAAAGGGGCTGTCTTATTTATGTGATGCACTGTCAGTCAAAGATTCAAGAGTTGCAAGATATTTTTCCTTTTTCCTATCTACTGTGTCTTCTGAGCTCAACTTTTTACCTCTCTCTTTTCCCTTAATCATTAAGGCTTCGTGCGTCTTTGTAGTCATCTCACAGGCATAGAGGTGTTCAAATAAGGAAGTGATGGATTTTTTTTTTCCTGCCAGGGATTGAGTATGCAAATCATCATCCCTGGGTCTCATTCAATATGTAAATGGTGCCTGGAATTTAGCAACACTCACTCAAACACCTGGCAATATTTTAGATGAATCTGTGTAGGATGAGTAATGAAATGTTGCAGATGCACAAACTTTCTGAGGTATCACGAGACTGTCATACACATAATCAAACTGACCCACTGTGATGCTCAAAACTTCTGGTGAAGGTAATAGCAACCACTAAGGAATGGCTCGACTTCTGGAAGACTGATGTGCCTTAATAAGCTCATGGACCCAAACAATGAGGTTTAGCTTATTACCAGTTGCAGAGCTAAACCAACTCTAGTAGCAAGTTAACGGATTGATAATGATCACTTTCAAGCTGGTCATTAGACTCAAGCCAGAGACACAATCAAGGATAGGGATGATGATCACAGTCACTGTACTGGGTTTGCTTTTCCCTTTCTTTCTTTTTTAAAATGAAGAACATTGATATTCTATTAGAAAGTCACTGTATGTCTATGGGTAAATGTCTCTTCTCCCTTTCCCATAAGAAATGTAGTATTAAGACTATCAGACTTCAGAATGACACAAAAGACAAAGCTACCTTAATTCCCTCATATTTTAACTAACTTTATTGAAAGAATCATTGAACTTTCCATTAAAGTCCTCAGAATCATAGGCGATCTGTGGCACCGCGGTATCTGATGTTTTACCTTCTGAGCCACCAACCCAGCAGGAAGCCACAAGGTGGGCTCTGGACTTCACCTTGCCCCAGACCGAACTGTGATCATTGACTTGAGCAAAGACATTGCAAGTAAGTGTTCAACAAGGTTGGAAACAGCAGCTATATAAATGTTAGAGGACAATTGCATTGGGATGACTACTGAATTGCTTGTTCTTTACACTTCGGGCTGCTGCCACCATGAACTGTACATTTATGTTAGGGACCCCTAATGTAAGGGCTGAAATGCCCATCACAAGGGCTGAAATGCCCTGACTTACAGACTCTTAAGGACAATTCTAATGAAGTCAATCTCATGTGTTAGATAGAAGGCTGAAGCAGTTGTCCTCAAGCTGAGAGTGTTGCACTTTTCCTAACAGTTAGAGGTGGATTTGGCATTTAAGGAGAAGACTAGCTAACTATCCAGCAATGCACAGGACAGACCCAGTGAAGAAAGATTCTTCCTACATTGCCACAGTGACCCTGTTGAGGAACACTGGGCTACAACAAACAAAACATAATTTTTAACAGAAATAAGTATAAATTCTGCATTGTTGGTTAAAGCAATCAATTGTGTGGGAAGAGGACAGGGGATATGTGGCTCAAAGGCAGTTCATGTAAAAAAGACCTGCACACTTTAGTTGACCACAAGCTCAATATGAAATAGCAGAATGAGGACCGTATTCAAGGGCTAATGCAACTTTAACCGCATGACGGTTAAAGCACAAGAAGGCAGCAACCTTTGTGAAGTCTGTGTGCAGTACACTGGGCACGGCACCATTTTGGAGGAGCGCTGGTGACCTGCAGCTGCACAGTATAGGACAACTAGAAGGATAAGGGATGTGGAAAACATGACATGAGAAACAGTAGCAATGGCTGGGTGTGCTACGTGCAAAAGGGTAGGCTGACTACAGGAAAACAGAAAAGCTACTTGAGTGACCCTCAGATAAAGGACTGAGCGGCAGGAGTGGGGAGCACTCAGTAGAGAAAGGAGCAAGAAAGCTGCCCTTCCTGATCATCATATTGGCCAACTCTCCCACAGAGGGACAGAGGGACCATCACCTTCAGAGAGGGACCAAGTGACTTTCTAGCAGGGAGACAAGAAAAGGGAGCCAGGTGAGACTACATAATCTTAACAGGTGCCTTTCAACCTTCTCCGATTCTGGTGTTTCATGTGACCCAAATCTCAGCAGGTTTCTTTACCAATTAGACACAACCTTATTAGCATATCATCTTAATTTTGAAAGTAAAATTGTTTCTTCCACTCCTACAACTCAACGATGCCAGTAATCTCAAAGCTTAATTGTATATAACATGACTTCAGTGGGAAGAGAACATGAGGAGAGTTTGCCAAAATAAAAGGGAAGTTTATTTTCTGGAACCCAAACTGCTCACAGATAACCCACATTTGCTTGCTTAATTATTCATTATCTACATGATAAGGTGGACAGCGTGCTTCTTGGATGTCAGTGCTTGACAGAAATGGAGAATTTTGTTATGGAAGATTTCATTTAGGCAAATTATGTTAATCTGATGTGACACCTAGAGCTGATCTGGAGGACTTGTTCTAACATTTATTGACTCATGCTCCAATAATGTCATTTCAAGAGGATCTGCAGAGAGTCTATAGCAAAAGAAATTGCAATATAACCTAGCTGGGCTTGAATAATTATTTCAGTTTAAAACAGATGATATATACTGAAAACAATTGTATGAAAAATCAGTCCCTGCTAGCTGTAAGATGGCCTTTTTTGGACACCTTCAGTCTCTTTATTTACTAAGTCTGAGTA